TTTGTAAATGTTTATTATATGAGACTAAACAAGGAATGTTCATATAAGGATATAAAGAACAAATTACCTGAACAGTTACCTGTATTATGATGAATACTATTATAATAATTATTGTTATTTCTGTTTGCAATTATTTTGTTGCATATGGCAAAAAAATCAATTTCCCAGTCAAGCTGCAGTCAAGAAATCGCAATGCTGTACAGCTAATTGCTTTTTGAACTGTGAGAAAAATGACCCATTCTGTAGATGGTCACTGGTATCCAGTCAAGAAAGATCTTATGGGCAATTTGTATAATAATAACATTTCCTAGTGTATGTTTGAACCTCACAACCGCTTCAATTTTAAACTAAACCATCAGCAAGCTTGGATCAGGTGCTGAAAAGGCAGGACCTCTTAGTTGTGACACACCAATGCAGGCCATAGACGGTTTGTTTATCGGCCGATTTTTTGTCTGAAAGAATAATCGGCCGATTTTTGCACTGTTAGTGAGACAATGGCTTCGTCCAATTTTCGCGGTTCCTCCTCATTTCGTTTATTGGTCATGCTGGAAAAATTCGTGAAAAATGGCCGATTCTTTTGCAATCATTGGTGGCAACATCGGTTTACAGAACAAACAATGTTTCGTTTTTTTGGATGAAAAATCTGCCGATAAACGAACCGTCAATGGCCTGCATAAGGCAACATACCTATATTGCAGGGTGGAGTGTTGAATTAGAAAAAAAAAGGGCCAGGTGTGATTTTATTAGCACATTGAGGTGCACTAGCAGCATAATCATTTCAATGTGCTAACCTAATGCTACACATGTTAATGAGTGACATAATGCAGGTGTGTTAATGTAGCTCAAAGAAATAAATGTGCCTTCAGTGTCACTCACTGAGCTGCTTAGGTCAATTGTGCTTAAAAAAACCAATGTACTCTTTTTTAGTGTTTATGTTAATATTTATAGTTAGTTTTTTTAGGTTGGGGTTTATTTTATCTTTTTATTTTTTTTACTGGTATTTGTGTATTTGATTGTTATTTGTGTACTGTCATTTTAAATCTTTTATTATTTTTTTTTCACTTTTTTAAGAGGCTAATCAGAGTCCTTCTTATGGCACATAACATCTCCAGGATAGTTAAAAAGAACTTCTGCAGTCCTCAAGATCCATTTAAAATGAATTGCACCCTTATAAAACCACCAAAAGCCACTTTAATTTCAACGTCCTGTGCATTCTCTGAATATGTTAAATTTTCTGAAATCTCCCAATTTTAGCCTAAATTTACATGAAATGAAAACTCTTAATTTCCCTCATGTTGCGTATGACCATATACCATATATGTATTTGGACACAGGCACGATTTTACTATTTTCAGGTATTTACCAAAACATATTCAAGCTATAGTTATATTATGCATTACAGTGATGCGCCCACCTCCTGGAGAGTGTCCTTCAATTGCTTGGATGTTGTGAATGTGTTTTTCTTTACCATAGAATCCTGTGATCATCCACCACTGTTGTCTTTCGTGGATGTACATGCCTTTTTATGTTGCTGAGCTCACCAGTGCATTCTTCCTTCCTCAGAATGTACCAAACTGTTGATTTGGCCACACTTAATGTTGCTGCTATCTCTCTGATGGATTTGTTTCATTTTTGAAGCCTTACAAAGGTCTTTTTCACTTGCATGGACAGTTCCTTTGAATGCATGATGTAGGTTCACATCAATAGATTCCAAATACAAATACCACACTTAGAAACAACTCCCGATCTTTTACCTGCTTAATTGATGAAGAAATAACAAAGGAGTAGCCCACACCTGGCCATGAAACAGCTTTTGATTCAATTGTCCAATTACTTTTGGTCCATTGAAAAAGGGAGATGGCTACTCTTACGATCTGTAATTCCTGAACCTTTCCTCCAATTTGAATGTACATACCCTCAAATTAAACCTGAGTGTGAGCACTTTCAACCCATATCCATTATATAACTATAGCTTGAATATGTTTTAGTAAATACCTGAAAAAAAACTAAAATTGTGCCTGTGTACAAATATATATGGACCTAACTGAATATACAGTATATATACAATATACACTAATTTAGCAAACGTATTGGGACGCCTGCCTTTACACACACATGAACTTTAATGGCATCCTAGTCTTCGTCCATAGAGTTCAATATTGAGTTGGCCCACCCTTTGCAGCTATAACAGCTTCAACTCTTCTGGGAAGGCTGTCCGCAAGGTTCAAGAGGGTGTGTCTATGGGAATGTTTGACCATTCTTCCAGAAGCGCATTTGTGAGGTCAGGCGCTGATGTCAAATGAGGACTAGCTCGCAGTCTCCGCTCTAATTCATCCCAAAGGTGTTCTATCAGGTTGAGGTCAGGACTCTTTGCAGGCCAGTCAAGTTCCTTCACCCCAAACTCGCTTATCCATGTCTTTATGGATCTTGCTTTGTGCACTGGTGCGCAGTCATGTTGGAACAGGAAGGGACCATCCCCAAACTGTTTCCACAAAGTTGGGAGCATGAAATTGTCCAAAATGTCTTGGTATGCTGATGCCTTAAGAGTTCCCTTCACTGGAATTAAGGGGCCAAGTCCAACCCCTGAAAAACAACACCACACCATAATCCCCCTCCACCAAACTTTACACTTGGCACAATGCAGTCAGGCAAGTACTCCTGGCAACCACCAAACCCAGACACATCCATCAGATTGCCAGACAGAGAAGCGTGAATTGTCACTCCAGAGAACATGTCTCCACTGCTCTAGAGACCAGTGATGGCATGCTTTACACCACTGCATCCGACACTTCTCATTGCACTTGGTGTTGTAAGGCTTGGTTGCAGCTGCTTAGCTATGGAAACCCATTCCATGAAGCTCTCTATGCACTGTTGTTGTGTTAATCTGAAGGCCACACGAAGTTTGGAGGTCTTTAGCTATTGACGCTGCAGACAGTTGGCGACGTCTGTGCACTGTGCGCTTCAGCATGAGCTGGCCCCTCTCTGTCATTTTATGTAGCCTACCACTTCGTGGCTGGGTTGCTGTTGTTTCCAGTTGGTTCCACTTTGTTATAATACCACTATATATAAATAATGCAAAAGAAAAAATACTGAAAGATGGAATTGAACAATGTATATTAGTCCAGTTGTGCAATGTCACTGATCCTCTACTTATTTTTCCTCTGGTGGTAGACAGGATTTTGCAGCATTCTCTGCAGCATTTGTATGTGAACTCATGGTGACTTCAGAATGTGCCACCAGGGGATGGGTCTTCAATGCCCTGGACTCACAAAAAGTGGGCTGAAAGATGTGGTCACATTTGTTCCAAAAAGACAAAGATAACCCATTATGTGTGAGCACTTTACATTTTCTCAGAGAATAAGCAAATACCAATGAATGTGCAAAGTTTTAATAGTATGATATATGTATATACACATCTCTCTATAATAGGCTGTAATGCAATGTTTGACTAGGTCTATCCATACAAAACTATTGTCTTATATGTAACATGACAAATGGGGTTTTATTTACTAAAGCTGGAGAATGCAAAATCATGCTCACTTCTGCATAGGAACCAGCCAGCTTCCAACCTCAGCTGATTGGTTTCTATGCAGAAATGAGCCTGATTTTGCACTCTCCAACTTTAGTAAATGTCTACTATAACCAGTAGTTAATAATCAGTTACTTTATATTTTACCTCTGTATTTACACTATTAAATTAAATGGATGTAGCTTTAACTCATTAAAAAAATCCTGGTGCATCCAATGGCAGCATACCAGCATACCAATGAGTTAGGCTCCATCCCTCTAACCCCACAGGTCTGGATATCAATAAATATGAGGGTATAGCATGCAGCACTGTTCTTGTAACTATCATGCCATTGCATGGATGGACCAGAAATGGAAATTATTGAAAAGTGAGTATGTAATTTTGTGTTTACCGGGGCACCATGGTACCATAGTAATGAAATTTAAATATTACAACTTTATGGGCAGGGAGGAAAAACATGCTTTATTTTACATGACCACTGAGAGAGTTTAACAATTATTTTCCAAAATCAGCAGAGAGGCAAGCTAGATCTACCTGGTAATGAGAAATGAGTGAATACATGGATGGCCAGGTTGCTGTTCTGCATATCATTTCCAGAGAAACTCCAGAGAGACTACACATTGATACCCATAAGTAGTTATGGTATGTGTCTTGTAGGCTTTCTGTATTGTTTTAACTAACCAGGTGGTAATGGTTCTTGTGGAAGGAGCTTGACCACTTCTGGGACCATGCAGGAGGATGTAAAGGCTGTCCATAGACCTAAAGGGTTCAGTCATCTCTGGATACATCTATAAGATAGATGGAATGCTCAAGTGAAGTCATGGAGGGAGAGCCCACCCTGGGAAGAAGCTGGGAAGAAGCTTGTGGGAAGGAATTTTGTAACCCCAAAGCTTGTATCTCTGTTTTGAACATTGTGCCCCCAGCCCTGATGGCTGGTATCTGAAGTTATTGCACTCTTCTGGCCATGGACTATTGGTAGATTTTGTTAAAGGCTGACCATCCTGGTCCACCACCATGGAGAACATTCCACATTGTACTGTAAGTGATAGAGATAGACTGGTGTAGGTCCATTTTTTGCCTTTGATTGAGGAGTCTGATTTGGAAATCTGCCAGGGGCCCACTTCAATATCAGACAGCCTAGAAGATTCAATAATTTGAAGGCAATCAAGCACTTTGCAGACACAGTAATTCACCCATGCTATAAAAGCCAAGAAACACCATACACTGAGAGGATTGTAATTCATTTTCTTGAATATTTATTAACCTGCATTCTTTGAGGGCTTTTATGAGTATATTTGTAACTTTACAATGTTTTAAGGCCTTGTGCTAGTAGAAGGATATTGTCAAAATATTGAAATCATTGAAATCACTGAAATAAAGATAAGCGACCACTGTGAACAACACCTTTGAGAAGGTATTTGGGAGACATTGATCTTCCAAAGAGCCTCCTTAAATGAGCTGTTGACTTCCACTCACAAAGCAGAGAAATACTGGAATTGGCAGGTATGTAGTGGTATGCGTCTGATAAGTTGACTGAGAGCATCCAGTGCCCCAGGTGAGATGGGTGCAGAATGGCTGGTATGTACTGGTATGCGTCTGGTAAGTCGACAGCAGGGGCGGACTGACCATTTGGAAACTCGGGCACTGTCTGAGGGCCCGGGGTCAGTAGGGGGCCCCATGAGATGCCCCTGGTACCTTTTTCATAGGCTTTTTTGAGTTTGGTCAAGGACACAGGGGCCCCATGATCCCCTATTGCCCGGGGGCCCCATGAGTTGTCAGTCCACCCCTGGTCGACAGAGAGCATCCAGGGCCCAGATGAGATGGGTACAGTATGAATTGGAGAGTAGAGCCCTGTGTAGTGCTCTCCACTTAAGATTTTTGCTGGTGAAAGGCCTAATTTTGTTTTGAAGAAGTAATCTTGTGGCAGAGAAGAGTTTAAAGTGCAACAGTGTCCTTTGGCAACAGTGTTATTCACTCAGCTGTCTGAAATATTGTCCCCCCACAGCTGGGTGAATGAGGTGAAACATGGTTCCACTTGCCCACTGCTTCAGAGTAGACACACCGTTGAAAAAAAAAACTTTTATGGCCTCCTTGAGCAGTGGAGGTATTCTTGACTTTATGCCATTTTCAAAAGGGTGGGTTTTGAGGATTCCCACAATCTGCAGTATTCTATCAACTCTGTAGGAAATGAAATCTTTTTTGAGAAGATACATTCTTCCATGCCTAATCTATAGTGCTAGGTTTTTATATCTTATAGGATTGACCCCAATGACCTCCAGTGAACATTGATATTGTGCAGTCCAGTTTGCTTCCAAACATGTTTCTCCCATCATAGGGGATTTTACACCAACTGGTCCTTGAGCCTTTATCTGTGGACCAGGATTTCAGCCCCAGGGATGTCCTGGCTGTCACTGAGACATTTTTACATGACCAATCTATTGTGCCCAATTTCTATATCCTATAGAATTGGTCCCAATGACATTAGATACTGTGCCATCCAGGGATGTTCTGGATGTCACTGGGTGGACATTGATCTGGCTGAAGCATGCACTGTTCCTGTTTTTCATAAAAACTCTTCTGGCACTTTAAACTTTGCTAGTGAGAATAGGATACCCTCTATGTATATCAATATTAGCTTTCTATTACTCCCATTTTTCCTTTTTTGTTTGTCCTTTTTTTTTTTTTAAATAATGGAGTATGGAGGTCATCCTGGGCAGCATTATCCATGGAGCAGAGGGAAGAAAAGATTGTAAAAAACAGTGACCTTAGTCAGAAAGTGATAGTAAAGAATATATGGAAGAGCAAGCCATACTGTTATACAATTCACCTACCAGGGCAGAAAGCATACACAGAGAATGAGAGAGAAGAGGAAACACACTCAACAGGCTCCAGAATCTGAAATGCTTACTGACAGAACCTATGTCAAACTGGTTTTAAATAGATTTTTGGTGACCTTGCAGTGCAGCTGTCATATACTTAGATGAGGAAAGCCACTCTTACACCTCCATCTCTCTGATAGAGCAAACAGATGGCACAAGGGCATGGAGTGGCCCAATTGCCTCATAGTTCTTGCTGGATGCTAAAGTAGGAGGACAAAGGTCTCTGGTCCTGCCACAGATGTGTAGCCTTCCCCAAGGGGATGACAGACAGGAGACTAGACACTGAAATGGCAAGCAGGAGCCCTGCATCAGAGAATGACAACCACAGAATGAACTGACAAATGGTAGACTGATGCATAAGCTGTGAAGCACATTACAGTGTATAGGTTGGGGTGACGAGATTCTACAGCATCAACAGAAAGACTGCAGGCTAGTGGTTAATCATGGCACAGGAACTCAGAACTGGTGCAAAGTCAGGCAACCCAGGTGAGCAACTGGTAGGCAGATCAGTTACAGTAAATATCAGAAGTGAGGTTGAGATTCAGGCCAGAGTCAGTAATGGATGAACAGGTCAGGAACAAAAGAAGTAGACAGAGTCCAGATGTAAGCTATGGTGGGTACAGGCAGAGAACAAGAATAGGTTAAGGCAAGCCAGGTTGTATCACGTAGTCAGGTACAAAGTCACAGGTCAAGATTCACCCGTAATGCTGTAGATAAGACTGCACTGACTATGTGCAGCTCTCTAGTTAAAATTGCCCTTTTGGCAACAACATTAGCAACACACATGCATAAACATCTGTGCCCATGCATGAGTGTGTAGACAGGGTGCCTACTGTGAGCTAGTTAGCATGGCTGCCATATTCAGGGGGAAGGGGTTAATGTCTTTTTCAGCTGTTCCTGGTCTGAATTCGTGGGCTCTTTGGGTAAGAGCCACCATTTGCATATTGTCATAAAAGGGGACACGGGCTTGGATCTGAAAGTTAAGTTGAGTCTGACCAAGCCTTGAGTTACAAAGAGCTGCTGCTTTAGAAGAAGACGATGACGCATAGGGACACTATGATCTGGGATATCACCACTGTGGACTTTGCCAATTTAGTTTATACCTGTGTAGGTATGCTAGAGTAGCCAAACCTAGAATAAGGTTTAATTAGGGAAAGGTCTTTTTGCTCTGTTGTGACTGTCATGTCAAGTTTACAGTAAAGCCCTAAAGCGTTGTCCTGCCTGATCTGAATTTATTCAAGGGGTGTTTGAAACTAAGCGCCACTCTACACATCATTTGCAGCTCGGGTCACTTAAGCACATTAGGGTATGAAGACAACTCTGCAAGAGTTTTCATGGTTCAGAGTCAAAGTGAGTAGTTGCCAAGGGTAATGGAGGTCTAGTAACCAGCACAAGCAACCTGTCATAAGCATGGTACCTGTGCCAGGCGAGGCATACTGCGGTAGTGAGGGGGTTGCCTCTGGGACCCCCTTACCCAGTGGTCCCATAGCAACAGAAGCAGATCAGCGTTACAGAGGCCCTCAGCCTAGCCACCAGGCAAGGGAGAGTAAGAAGACAAAGTGCACACGAGAGGTTCTCGCTAGGTGCATGGTGGGACCCCATTCTGTCACTGGGAGTGAAGTTAAATATGCTGGATTGGTGGAGTGGGCATAGGCTCAGAGTGTCACCCCTAAATACAAACTGTTACAGTCAAGGTATGCATTGACAAAGGACCAGAGAGTTAACTGGAGTCCAGTTATTTACTCAGTGTACATGGTGTACGGCCATTTCTAAGTTGGAGGACCACCTTAAGGTTGCATTTCCCTGAAAACGGTACCCACCTTGTCCCAGTGCATTTATAAGTATGATACAGCACAGGTGCCCCATGTGTATAGCGAGTGACACCATCCACAGTGCCTAGCATAGCCCTGAAGACCCTGGTGGACTTACAGACCCTTGGAACAGTCAATAATCACCAGCCTACAAGAGCATCCTTGCACAGATATGCACAGCCCATAACTATACTTGATGTGAGGATTGGATTAGGGTGCCCAGCCAACAATCCTGAGTACAGGGATAAGTGGGATGGAATGCACAACATACATTCCAGCAGAATGTAAAGCCAGCCAATGTACGGAGTAAGAAAAGAATAATGCTGCCATAGATTATTACCGATAGCACCACCATGCACCATCTCCAGACACTTTTAGAGAGAGTGAACATAGCTGGATAACCACCATAAAGAAGCAAAAAAGGTCAGCGGAACCCTGAAAAAAATGTTCTATTAACAAGAATACTACTTATATTACCTTAAGTTATAGCTATCCAGTCCATGGTGAGAACAGGTAAAAAAATACTGTGGCAGGCTGTATCAACATATTCGTTGATATTCAGCTCAGGGAGGTGGCTCCTAACCCAATGTTTTGTTGCTGTGATGATCCAGGAAAGGCATGTATATAAAAAAAAAAAAAGGGGCATGGAAGTGCTTCAAAGGGAGGGGTTGGGGGGTAGGATTATACACCTATTTTCACCAGGAGTCTCTGCATGAAAAGACAACAAGTCCTGAGCCGAAGAACAACAGTGCAAAGATCCCTAAGCTTTAAAGATACTAGTCCACATCATTTACATTTTTTTGAAACAATGACCAACAATTTTTGCATGGTGGGGGAGTGCTCCAAGGGGTGTGGGGACAGGATCATACACACTTCACTTTGCCCAAGAGCCTCTGCACCCACACAGTTGAAGAAATGCAATAGTATGTATGTATATTCAAACTTAAATTCCTGTTAGACTTTCTTTTTATGATAAATATTTATTCCCTGCTGTGGTGTCTTGTCAGACAACTGCAAAGCTTTAAAAGTATCCTTACAAAAGAGCAAACATCAAATTAAATACATATTGGTTTCAATATTCCTAAATTGCTAAATTAACTGATGTAACCAGCTACTACCAGCTTATTGCACTTTGTACGGAAATCTGATTTCCTATCTAACATTTAGAAACCAGAATCTGGATAGTCAGCTTTCTGCCAGAATTTCAACAATTGCCTTATGTTCGCTAGGTCAGCTCACTGCCAAGTTGAATTCACTTTGATAAAACTATGTCCATAAAAGGCTTATGCAGTAATGGTCCCTGACAAACCATTTTTATAAACTATGACTTAATCCTGGCTGTACTGAGACAAATCACCTGAAATTCTCTTATATTGATTTTGTCAGTTAATAAAGAAGCTTATTATTCACACAAGATGCAGGAAGGAAGTATGTGAAAAGAAAGTTACAAAGACATACCCATGGGCTCTATCAGGTGCCCATACACTTGCTGTCTATTAGCAGAGTTTATGCTGAGCATTGTGCTATGATAAATAGCAGTGTACTATCCACCCAACTTTCATGGCTGAGCCTTGAACACTCAGATATCATAGAATTTTGTTAAAATATTTAATTTACTTTAATAAGTGAATGAAGTGCACTTGATTGTCTGATATGAAACAAACATAATCTAATATATAATTAAATGGAAAAAAATCTGTTTTAGATATATTTGAATTTCTTTAAACCAGATTATGGACAGCAGTAGATTATTATGTGTGTTAATACATATTAAAAAATTACATGTGTTTTATCATATTATTATTATTATACAGTATTTATATAGCGCTAAAAGGTTTGCTCAGTGCTGTACATTATAGAGGGGGACAAAAACGTGAGACAATGCAGTAACAAAACAAAAACACGAGGGGGTCAAGTGCCCTGCTCTTTCGAGCTTACAATCATTTTCACTATGTATGAGTTGAGTACATGCATGTCATGCATGTGGGTTTTCAAAGTGTCCAATGAATATTGACCTTTTGCTGCAACATGTAACCTTTTTTTACATTAGGCCTGGTAAAGGTGCCATAACAC